TGCTATTAAAACGAATCGACCATCTACCGGCTGCTTCCATTCCTTGCCTGAAGACACCTCACACAGCAAGAATATTTTGACTGGTGCTGTGATCCGGATCAAAATATAGCAAGACTCTTTCAGTTACAATTGAGTCTCTTGAGGCCCACATCCACTTTATCTGGGTCAGATAGAAGCCAGCAGTACTGCATTGCAATGGCTCAGAAGTTGCTATATGTTAAGTTTTTCAGAAGAGTAAACCAGCAGAAAGAGATAGATCAGTGTCAAACATATGGCCCGAAGGCCAAAACTGGCAAAATAATGCACACTCACATGTTGGTGATGTTTGTAAAATTAGGAATATTATCTAATATACTTGTACTTATTTGCAGGAAAACAAAGGGGAAAAACATAGACTTAGTGTTATTTATAGGTAATTATGTTATGATTGTACTGCAGTGATGTGCGGTGAGGTTCATGGCTGGTGAGGCACTCACTCTTCTGGAGTCAGATTTACAATTGTAAGAACTGAAAAGAGCATCTTATTTCTCTTGGATGGTTCATTGGTTTATTACCAGGTGATGTTGTTGGATGAATAGTGAAATAAGATGAAATATGATCCATCAGCATTCCTCTTTGAATGACACTGACACCAACACAAACATATACACAGGAACATATATGTCCTACAAAGAACGTTTCTTTTATACAAATGGACAGAGCCCCCTTCTTGTGTCTAAGAAATTCATATTTACTGTAAACAAATAATGTAATGTAAACAAAACATCAAAGAGATGAGTGCAGCACAAATTTAATTTTGACCTTCAGTAAAGAATTTAGTTATTTTATAAACTTTAAATTCTGGTGCTTTAATCAAAGGTTGTCTATCAATTAGATAAGAAAAACATTTTTAGGCCAGACAGTTATCAAATACTTGAATTTTTTCTACTTACTCCCATCTTATTTTTTACGCTAATGGACACTAATGTTTAGTGCCCGTTGCTCATCCGATGCCAAATTGATCCTTGAATTTCCAGACCTTTTTAAAGAAATCTGTCTTTGAATGTACGTGGCTGATCTTTCATGTCTGCTGAGGCTTCTTTGCAAATGTTTCAGGTCACAGTATCCTGAGTTAGTCCAGACGTTATCACACGATGAGAATAAAAGACAAGGAAAGCAGTAATGGTGGTTTTTTACTTGACAGCCACACAGCCAGTCTTTTCGTTTGTACCGCTCCATTTAAAAAGAACAACTCTTTTGTCCCTTGGTTTGAAGCTAACCTTTTAGCTCCAGCGTTGGTCTTCCATCACTTATCATCTTCTGTCTGGACCGAAAGTCCAGTTTTGAGAAATATTTCTGTCTTGAAATACAATCCATAGTGAGTCGGATCAGGCAGTGCATAGAAAACGCTGTTCTTCACCTACTCGCTCTGGATTAGTGCCGACTTTCAATTGTCCGTTGACGCCAGCTGCAGAGCACCTGTCAGTTCACGTACGACCCCTTGAGGTGAGGCAGAGTACTATTTGCCTCCCCTGCTGACTTTTCTCTGCACTTTATTGGCTGGAACAGAAACCGGCCAGCATCATGTGACCCAGTTTGATTGGATAGCGCAGTAAGAAGAGAGGCACAGCTCGTCGGTACCTCACCCGGAATTTCTGCTCTGTATTTGAATGCGAAACACTCGAATTCGGCGATTTTTACTTAATTAAATATCAAAAATGTGTAGAGTCATACTGAAAATGCATCTTTAACACAGATCAGTGGAAAATATTAATATTTATTTTATGTACTTTTTTCTCCTTTTTTATCGTGATGGCAGGTGAGGCACTGCCTCCCCTGACCGCACGTCACTGTTGTACTGGACCGGCCCACTTGACATCTACTCAGGATGTATATGGCCCCTGAACCAAAATGCTTACTTAGTTCACAAACAAAAAAAAACAAAAACGAATAGCTAAACATTAGCTATAACTGCTAAAATAAGCTCGTCAGAAATTAATCAAAATACACAGAAAAACAGTTCAGAGTGGCATGAAACTATTAAGATGTTAAATGTATTTTAATTTAAGGGCAAATATATCTGAGTGTAGAAAAGCAGTTTTCGAACAGAAACATAACAAATTTGTATTAGAAAGGGGGCTGTTTGACCGACAGTGCAAAGTATTTCCGAATTAAAGTGAAGTCAAAGTACTTCCAAACTGAAGGACTGCACTATTGAAAAAAGATGTAGAACATACTCTGACGCTACAGGGGTCATATTTCATTGTCTCTATTGTACCTGAAACAACTCAGAGTACACAGTCTTTAATTTTAATGTTGTATTTTAGAAAGTCACCGTGTAGTAAGAGTTTATAGATTTCTGCTTGTGGAAAAGTGTGTGAAGGCAACATACCATTAAAAATCACTTTTTTTCTCTTCAGATAATTTCATCTGCAGCATTTAATGATGTATTTATACAGAAACACTGATGAAAAAATTCCCACCAAGCCACAGGATATTAAAGCATTCGTATCTGGAGGCTCGAAAATGAACCCAGAAACTGGTAAAACTCTATTACGGCTTATTTATCTCTCTCTCTGGAAAATAATATTTTCAGTAGCACAAGCTTCAGTCAACAGCAGATATTAAAATTTCACGTTTCCACGACATGAATGAAGACGGTGAAAGCAGAAGAAAGGTGGGACAGCATGAGTCAGACGCGGAGACTAACCCTTTTATAGAAAATGTTTTGATTTGGCAACAGAAGTGTTGTTCGTTTTTAATTAGGATTGTGAAACGAGTCTTCTCTCCTGTGTTTGTCAGCAACAGTAAACACATCTGACACTGTGCCTAATTTTCTTTGTCTTTAGATCCGACACCAACACATTAACAATACTTTCACTCAGACACTGTATTGCCTTACAGCAAGTACATTTACAAATGCCTGCAGGTTTTCACTATGTTCTCACCAATAGAATAAAACATGCACTACACCCACAGACACTGTTAAGATATTATAAATACATTTATTCAATCTTTACAATATATTCATTCCATATCAATTTATATTGTTTTTAAATGCTGTACTAAAAGGAGAAGTACTGAAGAAAGGTGTGCATGCTGATGGTTTATATGGATGTAGTAGGATGGTGTATGGTACGGATGGCACTGACTGTTACACTTGGAGATAGAGACAGGTCACAGAACTGGCCTGAACCAGTTTCTCTTCCCAAATAATGAGGAAAACAGAACATCAAAAAGGAAAAGAATCAAAGTGTATTTCTTTGATCTAACCTGAGTTGCCAATCAGCACAGAAGTGGCGTGTGAACACCACATGGCTGATTTGCATACTTATTTCAGAAAAGCTGCAAAAACAAAAGACCAAAATTGAATCTGCCAAAGCTTTCTCTATCCCACAGAAACCTGGACATGACCAGAAGATCCAGGTTGGCGACCTAGTGTTCCTAAAAGCTACACAGAGAACAAAGTGGTCTGACCCACGGTGGAACGGTCCCTACAACG